AAGCCACTAAACAACACAATGCTTCTGAGTACTTCTGATCACTGTGATCAGTAGTCGTGCTACTGTGTAACTAAAGTGTTGTTGCAAACTGATTGTTTATTCCTTCAGTAATCCTGTATTCTTTGGCCTGCTTCACACTGGTGATTAAAAGAAGGATTGGCAGCTTTAACAAAAGCAACACCACCACTGAAACCCACTCATAAGCCCATGTGTAAACAGCTTGTGTCTAAGCCAATATGCAAACAGATGATTTTCACACTGGCAGGATGACCAGTACTGTTCTATATTTGTATGTCCACAGTGTATTTTAAATCGCTTTGGCTTGCCTATAGTTTACATTCAATTAAGTAGACTTGAAAATGGAGGATGTCACAGCACACATTTAAACTAAAAATGAACTCTCTCTCTATATATATTATGTTTTTTTGTTAATTCTACCTTTGTTATGTAGGTTAGTATAGTACCATTGTTCTTCTAATCATTAACCTGCCCATGTCCATCAAACACGGTAGAAGATACCTGCTGTTTCACCCTCAGTTCTGCTTTCATTTTGTTTCTTTATAGAGCTGCAAACATCTTTGCCGGACATTTTAGTAGGACTCTGCACATGTTTTTTCCAAAATGAAACCCTTTTGTCTCTGCACAATTGTTGTTCCAAGTGTTTTTGCAGTAGCCAGTTTCCTTTCCGTCTATAAACACTTCAGTGTGCAGAAAAATAAAAACTATTTCTTTCTGTCCTCGGCCCATGTCCACGTTCCTCCTGTTAGCCTAATAGCTTTTGTCCAATCCCGGCAGAATACCTGTCAATTCGGCAGCAAAGTTTGTTGTTGTCGGCTTCATCTCACCTCCAGCTGGTCTAGTCAAGTAAACACAGTCAACAACATCTGCCTCAGAAACTCACCGTGCTCCAAGTTGTTCCATATAAATGATCACACTAGGAAGACTTTGTGTAACCTTACTGTAGTTTTATGGTAATCTCCAATGTGCTGGAGGTGAGGTAATTCAGATTATTAATGATGATCCTAACCTAACCCTGTATTTTTTCTCAGGATTATTAGAAGATGAAAATTCAGCATATTTTGTTTTTTGTATTTAAAGCAACTTTGTCCACTTCACATTGTCTCCATAAAAGCTGAAATGTTGCCACACATCAGCGTGTAACATAAGAGGGCGCTAGTCAAATGTTATTGTTTGTAAGCTGTGGCACTAGTTCAGCCATGAACATAGACAATTGGTTAACAAATCTGTATGACAAGGCTGCGCATGTTACCTTGACTTTAAAATAAAGGATTTTAATTTTTTCTCATTTGATTTATAACCATTCAAGAGACAATTGTTATGCATGGGAAAAAACGATCATGTCTCCCACCTTTTGTTCAGTGGGCTGCATAATTTCAAGTGTACTTCCAATTTACTTCGGTTTGTCTGTTCATTTAATCATTTTGACAAAGTAATAATGTTTGCCTCAAGCCCCCTCTCCCCCCAGGATTTTGTTCTGAGAGACACCTCCCATCTGGGATTTCCTGGCTGCATCCCGACATGATCCTCCAACTTTGGTCTCTTTTCATCATTTAGAATAATTCTAGAGTTTCTGCAAATCTCTCTCTTCTTCCTCCTCCTCCACCTTCTCCGTCATCAGTTTTCTCATTTGTGTTTAATGATATGTTATACACAGGGTCAATTAGTGCAGGTTATTAGAGAGCACAAAGAGTGGAATTACAATCAGACCAGGGTTGAGATGAGGCTGCTTATAATTGTACGAGGGCGTAGATGTGCACAGGCTAAATGGGTAGGACTGTAATCTAACTCCTTTTGATGATAATGGTCCTTGAGTTTGCACAATCTTATGAAGGAGGTCATGTATGATTACGAGCCGGTGGCGCATAACATGGCTGTTTATCCTTTTCTTTGAAAATCATTTGCATGACACACTCATGAAAAGCTGTTCGCTTCCCTGATGGGGTTTATCTCCCTTACATGTTCTCGAGCGGCGTCCGTTTACTCTTCAGTATGCAAATGCAGGTTCATGAGAGCTGTCAGTCATCTAAATGCCAATGGTTTTCAGTTCGCCACGCACTAGCATCACTTCACATGTCAGGACTGCGTTTGACGTCTCCACATGTGTCTTCTTGTTCCTCCTGTGTTTAGTTGATGTAGTCCTCCTCATATTGGCAGTCATTGAAGGGACAGTTGGTATTTTCATTTCCTAATGCAGTATGAAGCCATATGTCTCCATTAGCACTGCTCAGACGGCTCATTCTCACCAGCTTCACGCTGAATCAGCTGCAGCCTTTGACCCAGTTCCAGAGAAATGCACAAATGTGGCGCTTGATGACTTTATATGCTTTTCTGGCTACTCTTAATGATGGTGTAATTGAGTGCACCCTGCTGCACACTGACTGGGCTGCTCTTTAATGGCCGCCCACAGTTTATTCCCACCTCCTCTTTGATTGTTTCGTTGCTGTCTCCCCTCGTAGCTACCCTTTTGTACCTCACCATGGTACGGCTGAATTAATTTCCCCGAGACCTTTGTTCAGTATTCGAATCGTGGCTTGTGTTCTAGGGGATTCCCTGGATGCGTTGGATTGTTCTAAGGGTTCTGAAAACACTGTGGACACGTGTATGCAAATACACCATGATGACAAGGTGAACTGGTGTTGAATGGATCTGGCTGCTCAGTGTGTTTCAACCTTCCCTGAGCCTTTAGTAAGTGAACCGTAGGCAGACCTGCGGCACAAACCATAGGAGAGACATTCACTTTTGTGTTTGGCCTTTATGATGTTCTCAGTTTCTGGCTAAATTTCAGTCATTTTTCTCAATCTGTCGTTTTTTTTTTTTTACTATATACTATAATAATAAATAGCGGTTTGTTCGTGTCATGTATGGTGCCTCCTGTGTGGCACGGTAAAATTAATTGCATCGCCACAGGGAAACAATAATTAAGACATAGTCCAATAATGAACATCTACATATAATTCCCAGATTATTCTGCATGGTATTTGCAGTATATTTTATTTTCTAAAACAGTGAGACTTAAATCAGTATGTGGTATTGATAATGGAATTGAAAATGCTAAATTCCTATCAATACCCATCCCTAGTCATGAGATACACCAATGCTCATGCTAATTATAAGTATTTAAGTATTAACTTTGTCCTATATGCTAAGAGATTATTAAATAATACACCATTTGTTTCAAGTGTACAATTAACTTGTTAATTGATGTCAATTAAGGCATAACATGAGAACTGTACTAATGTGATGGACTAAAAAGTTCTTTGCAATTTAAAATGAACCATGTGACAAGCCTGGATTTTATTTTTTAAAACTGTTTCTGTATAATTCCAGTTTTATTTTAAAGAAGACATCAGTGTTTTGCTTCATCCACATTGTACAAACTTAAAAAAGTAAGTTGATATTTGATGATGTGAACCTGGTAACCTGAGTCGAAGGACCTGCCTTATTACCATGTGTGGGCAGAGTACATAAAAAAAGGATTCACCGTAGCACCAAAATGTGACAAACACAAAAGTGCTCTGTTCCAGATAATTGTCCACCATTACAACTTAAAAGTTAAATGGTACCAGAAAAATATCTCTGAGTGGCACCTGATATGTTAATGAAATATAATCAGCTCTTAGTATGGAGGTTGTGGGACAGAGTTGGCTCATTTAACGCTCCATCAGGATGCTGCGAAGGTTTTAGTGCCAGCAGTGAAGGCCCTCTTTAATTAAGCTGCCATTCAACTTTGGAAACCTTTGCTGAAGTGGATCTGCATGATTTCCTTTCAGCAGAACTTGAAAACACACACAAAAACACACACACGCCTGTTGTCACTGGTTCCCCTCTGACACAGACGCTAACTCTGTGTGTTTGCTAACAGTTCATTGTCATGCTGTCAGCGTAGGCTGTACATACGTGTGTGTCTGTGTCTCCTTGTGGCTTTTCTCAGAGGTGGTTGTTGGTCACGGGTGGTTTGACACTCACAGGTCCTTCACGTTCCACTAGAGAGGAGAACATGTGTTTTTACTTAGGATTCTGTTGTCTTTACATCGCCATCTGTCCATGCTGAGGTTTTTTTTTCCTGGGTGTTTGTCTGCAACATAACAAACACTCTACATGTAAGGGAGCGTAACGACTTCCACCAAGTGTTTAACAGTAAACAGGAATGGACGTCGTTAGAACTTAATGTGCAACACAGGCATTTAAGGCACACAATTAATTAAAAATATTTAAATGAACGGTCAACCTGGATCCTGATGTCATCTGTGTTTGTCTTCACAATTTTGAAGAAGAAAAAAACATAAAAAATATTTTTGTGTGATGTACATGGTTTATTGCTGAAAATTCCACAATCCAGAAAAAGAAAATTCTAATGTTGTTTGAAATCCGCCCTTAGAAAGTTTGGTTTAAAACATCCAGTGTTGTCCCTACAGAGAAGAAAACCACAGCTTTATTAACAGGCATAAATATGTCCCAACCTTGTAGCTGCTGTATTTGATATATTAGACACAGATGTATGGCTGTTTGGTGGATGGAAGTGCTCTATCTATGTTTCACAGTCAGCGCGTTGACATGTCATATATCTCGGAGATGAAACTCTCCTTTTGTAGCCCTGACTTATATAAACTCCAGAAACATTTGCAGTGTCTTTCTTTCCTCTTCCTGCAGCGCTCAGCAAACCCCTCTTCTACTACTGCTCCTGTTTTGGCCTTCCTCCATCAGCTTTGGTGTCTCTGTAGTGGGTGGTGTAGATGTGTTGATAAAACAGCATCACTGGTGCCTGGCCTGAGCATGACTGTGTCAGACAGTGTGGGCGGACGTCCTGTGGATGTGTGATGCCTCTACTACACATTGCAGTGGCACACAATTAGCGCCACGAGGGATCCAAAGGCTTTATTGTACCCCCCCCCCCTGAAGTCCCCCCCCCCACACACACACACACACACTCAGCAGTAATATCTCCTCCTCTTATATTGTTCTCTGTCATCCCTCCACAGCGATCTATAACTACGATGCCCGGGGAGAGGAGGAGCTGTCACTGCAGATCGGAGACACAGTGCACATACTGGAGACGTATGAAGGTGAGAGGACACCACTGGGGACAGAGTTGGACACCGTTTCCCCATCATTAGTAGTAGATTCACTTGTGTTTTGTCCATTTTCGGTGCACACAATCACCCAAAAAAGCGTTTATGAGAACCAGCGGAGCTGATGGTTTATTCCTGTATATCCATGAGCAGACCCACTCTCCCCACAGTATTGGTTTTAATATCACGAGGCCGTTTGTGACGTATATTCACAGTGTTTTTATTCTCAAGTTCACGTTCAAACTAAATAGAATTGGGAACTCAGCAGAGTTAAAATGCACTGTAGCTTTTATTGCATTTTTTTTTTGCTCACACAATGTGCTTGTTGTGTATTATTGATGAGACTTGTTCTGTTTTGTATTCCACCAGATTGGTACAGAGGCCATAGGCTACGAAGAAAATCCAAGAAGGTTGGTTGTCTTCAACTTTTTATTTTTTTAGTTATTTCTTCTTTGTCTTCAGCTTCGATTTGAACTGTTTAACTAAATAAGCATTTTGATCCTAACTGTATACTCTTCCTTTTCCAGGGCATATTTCCAGCATGTTATATTCACCTGAAAGAGGCCACAATCGAAGGCAGTGGGTGAGTTCATTTTTACATACTGTTTGAACTGATATGGTTCTAGTATCATCATTTTTCTTCACTGAATTAAATACAGTGCAAACTCAGTTCTCGAACACTTCCCTTTTTGAACAATTTGATTAAGTTTTTATCCAAAAATTGCGTTGGTTGTCATACTACAACACAGTTGCCGAACAAGCCAATAATATCGCACTGACAGCAAGTGATCACTGTGTGACTGAGTGTGTGGCGCCAGTCTTGCCTCAGCCCCTTATACATGCTAAGAACTGTTGACTGATTTCGCGAGTATTTCTTGCACTGTTATTTCATAAATCACCATGGGACCTAAAATAGCTAGTGAGAATGGAAAGGCGAAAAGAAAAGTAGCAAGGACAACAATAGAAGTGAAGAAAAAGACTATACGAAAGCATGAGAATAGTGCTCATGTTTCAAATCTGGCCGTATGGCTGAGTAAAGTTGTCGATTTGTACCATCATTAAGAACAAGGAAGCAATAAAAGAAGTTAAGCAAAAGAAGTGACAGTGATCACCAAGCAAAGATCTCATACATTAGAAGAAGTGGAAGTTGCTACTGATTTGGATCAACAAAAAGCAGTTGATTGGCGACAGTATTTCAGAGACAGAGAATAATTTGTGAGAAAGTGAAGCGAACATTGCGCAATCACAACTCCTCAGCACCGATAAGGACGAATGAAATTACTTTTCCTATTTAAAGCATTCTTTATTCAGTTATCTTTTTTGTTAGATTTAATTATTTTCATTGGTTTCCTGTATGAACTTGTACACAAAATACTGTTGAAAAAGTTTAAATAAGCAGGAACAGATTAATCCATTTGACATTGGTTCCTATGGAAAAAATTGTTTCTTTGTTTTAGAATGAAATTCTTATATGGTGAAATAATACGCTCCTCCTTAGTTTTTACATATTGTTGTTGAGCAAGATTATAATTACAAACACACTAATTGATGTGTTTTTTTCCTCCTAATTCCTGTATAATTGTGGTTAATGCTTAACAGTTAGTAGAATATGGGACGTTTCTTTCATCTTCAGTTTTTGTATTGCATCAGAATTGCTTGTTTGCTTGTTTTTAAAAGCAGCTGTTTTGTGTTTTGCTCTGTTTAATTTGCGGCGCATACACCAGAAAGATTAACCTTCAACTTCCAAGTCCTTCAATTCAAATTAGAACCTGGAAAAAATTCAAATTAAGAAAATTCAAATTAATCAGCATTACCTTGGATAATAAACAGTGAAGGTAATTACTGTGGAAAAAGTGTTTACAGTGGTAAACAAAGGTCTTTGACTGCAGATATTCATTGTAGTCTCATCAGCTTCTAGACTGACAGTTTAGACATTTCTTCTTCTTTTATCCTCATATGGAAAATGTGTGCAACAGAAAACGCACAAAAATCAAGCAGATCCTTTTTAATTGATTGCCATGAATGCAGGCAAAAGGAGACCATCATCCCAACTGAGCTGCCCCTGGTCCAGGAGGTCACCACCACGCTGAGGGAATGGGCCACTATATGGAGGGACCTCTACGTGGTACGTATGTAGTGGACACACACAGTGATTGGCTTAGATTTATGTATGATAACGTATCTATGTATGTGTGTGTGTAAATATATATATATATATATATATATATATATATATATATATATATACTTATGTATTTTTTATTTTATTATTTGCCTCAGAAATAGAAAAAATGACTTTAATCACATAGTGACATAGTATCAGACTTTAAAGAGTACTTATTAAGGGATTTGGGGTTTTGGCCCCTGCGTAATTTTAAAGATACAGTAATAAACCTTAAACATAAGCCTGCTCTTAAATTGTTGTTAAGTGCATAAAAGGTTGTTCGGGGATTTTTCTGTTCCCACCAACAGAGGGACAAGCGGGAGATGTTCAACTCTGTCCGTGACATGATTTACGACCTCATCGAATGGCGCTCCCAAATCCTGTCCGGCACCCTCCCACAGGACGAGCTCACAGAGCTCAAACAGAAAGTCACCTCCAAGATAGACTACGGCAACAAGTGAGTGTTTGGACTTCAGAGTCTCCAGATCTTAAATCCCTTTTATCCTCACATCTATCTTGGAGAAATGAGTGTGCTTGGAACAGGTCAGCAGTTTCAGTCAATAGAAAATGACAGCTCATCACTTAGCTTCAGGAAACCTGGGAGGATTTAGCTTTAGCAAACTCTACTGTAGTCCATCACCAAGTGACAGCTTCTGCTGTGTCTACAGTGGAAACAGAAAAATGGTTTGAAATCGAGAATGGTGAAGCTGTGATAAAACTGGAAACCAGGTGTAGACTTTTGTCCACAAAGAAGCAGAAGTGAGGTGATGAAAAGTTGGCCGGGAGGCTTGGTCTGCACCAAGATAAAAGAAAACAAAAAGTTGATCGGAAAAGTTTGACTTTAAAAACATTTTTTCGTAGGTTAGAGCAACCGAACAGTGCAGGTGTTTACAGTGGTGTGCTGTGATATTCATTGACCGTTTTCTTGAAGGTACCTGGACCTTGATTTGGTGGTCAGGGACAATGATGGAAACATTCTGGACCCTGAGCTCAGCAGCACCATCAGTCTGTTCAGGGCTCATGAAGCCGCTTCCAAACAAATTGAGGATCGAATCCAAGAAGAGAAGGTAAAAATAAGAAAAAACAGAACTGCTTAACAAGTTGAAGCACAATAGCATATTAAAAAGAAAACCAAAACAAAATACTTTTGTACATCACTGTATGAAATCATGATCTTATTTAATTCTTTGTTGGAGGGATTCACTTTTTTTTAACTTTACATTTGTACTTATTTATAAATGATTAAAATATATCTATATATATATCTATATCATTATAATTACTATCATTATTAACATTATTATTTACTGTTTCTAATGAGCTTCATTACTTCAGTAGAAAAAAGAACTTCTTCATTCTGCAGATCCGTTCTGTTGTTTACACATATCCACTGTCGTGGTGAAAAAGCAGCCGCGCCTATTTCCCAAAAAAATGTGTAAGAGCTTGAACAGACACTGTGCCAGTCAGTTGTTGGCATCCTTCACCTGCGTGTCAGTTGGCAGTGTGAAGGAGTGGGTGTTAAACCTGAGGTGGCCTGCAGTCACACAGTCTCTTCTAATGGGACCTTTTTCTCCACAGGTCTTGACTGCATGTGTAGAGCCAGTATGATTTTGGTCATTTGGATTCATATTGTCAATCAGGTTTTAGTGTATTTTTAAAGCCATGCAAAAGGTCTATGCTGCCAGTTCATTTCTTATTTAAGAGGGAGGAAATGGAATAAATCAAACTGGATTTTAGGACCTTTATAGACGTTCCATTAAAACTAGCTGTTTTTCTTGATGAATTTCCACGGAGAGGCAGTTGTGGTTATTTGCAGTCCAATTCCAGGCTGTGAATGGATACAACATTTTTTCCACACATACTGGGCTCGTTGTTTAACCTACACATGTGGATGAAATTGTTGGTTAAAAAGTTGTTTGTTAGAAAAGAAACTTCTGACACTTCTGAAACTGGAAAAGTAATCATAACTAAAAAAAGTACTGATAATGAATAATTGAAAATCAGACATTGTTTTGACATGTGTAACCAAGAACCACAACTCAAAGGTTAAATTGCATTCATCTTTATTATTACATTCAGTCAGTTGGAGGTTAAGTGAACATTATGGTTTCTTTATTTGAACCAACCATGTTGTGTGTGTGTCAAACCTCACATGACAAAAAGCTGTGGTAAAAGCCCAGTATTATTTGTGACTTTTTGTCTTTTTGTTTTTTTCTCCCTCTCTCTGTCTGACAGTCTCAGAAGCAGAATATTGATCTGACCAGGCAAGCAAAGTTTGCTTCCACTCCGGCGTTTGCCCTCTTTGTAACTCTGAAGAATGTGGTGTGTAAGATCGGTGAAGACGCTGAGGTGCTCATGTCCCTCTATGACCCGGTGGAGTCAAAGTTTGTCAGGTAAGTCCGTCACTGGTCGATACATCGGCTGTCCTGTGGAGTCTCCTGGAAAAGAAAGCCAATTTACTGGTACAAACACAGCAGCGTACTCAGAAAATTATAATCACAGATTATGTTAGTTGTGGTATTTGCTCATTTGAATTAACGCTGTTGTCAAACACCGTTTGGGAGTCAACACTTCCATAAATACTCTGACTCAGATATGAGTATTGCAACAATTTGTTTTACTATATAAAAAAGAAATAGGCGTTTACTCCTTAGCAGAAACAAATAATAAATCAGGAAAATAAAACGAACAGCCAGCTCTGCTTTATATCTCCTTAAAACTGGCTTCTTTAATGCATATTTTTACCACTCTACCCAACGCCATAATTTGATTCATCAAAGACTTCTTATCGTTCAGTCAGGTCAGGCCTGTCACCATCATTTGAACTACAGTTAGCGTCACATTGTCATATTGTTCTGTTTATGGTTCAGTACTATCAGTCCTACCAAACAGGCAGGGTGGCCCAATAAGTGGATCGCAGTCTACCTGCAGGTCTCAAAGGGAGTGCTGAAATGTCAAGAGCAATTAAAATAAAAAAAGATATATTAACAAATGTGCAAATAATAAGTATATTTTGTTGATATGAATAAATATGTGTTTAGAGTTTTCTATTACATCAGTTTTGCCCACATCTCTCATCATCAGTTTTTTCAAGACAGATTGCTATTACATCAGTTTTGCCCACATCTCTTTTGGCTTTTGCTAATTTCCCTGAAAATATTGATGGATTGAATTGTTTGTTTTCCCTCACAGTGAAAACTACCTGGTGAAGTGGTCCAGTTCAGGTCTGGTGAAAGACATAGACCAGCTACACAACCTGCGCGCTGTCTTCACAGTGAGTGTGTTTGCTTCTGTGTGTGATTGCATGTTGGCCTGTTGTGCTGCGCTGTTTATCCGGCCATGTTATGAGGCGTGTGGGAGCCTGTTTGTAGAGTCTGTGTTTGTTGAGCTCTCCCAGGATGAAGCCAGCCGGCCGCACGGCGTTTACCGAGGCAGTCACCTCTATCTAATGGGAGCCCAAGGACGGCAGGGTCAGTTTGCGTCCACCGGGCGAACTAGGCTCGGCTTAGAAAGGGTATTTCCCACAGGAAATGAACGACGAGGCACAATCGGAGATGGTGCTCTGGCAATTTGTTGTGCAAATGTTTGCCCAACTGCAATTCATCTTTAGCCAAGCTAATCTGCCCTGTAATTGAGATAGACAATGTTAAGGCACAATTGCAATTCTGTAACCTGTCAAAAGTTCAAATGGGATTTTTTTTTTACAATATGTGGACCTTTGCATTGTTCTTATTCCCAGGACCTGGGCAGTGAGGACCTTAAAAGAGAGAAGATCAGCTTTGTTTGTCAGATTGTCCGAGTTGGCCGCATGGAGCTGCGAGACAATAATACCAAGAAATTGACATCGGGGTTGAGAAGACCTTTTGGAGTGGCAGGTAATGTAGTCAGGGGTTTTTTTATCCTTTTTTTTTTTTTTTTGTCTTTTGTGGCTCCCAAACCATTGGCCAGCTCAAATGTCATAATTAATCCTTTTTTGTAGAGCCTCTGATTTGAACACCTTTTGTATTCACAGTTTATTTAAAGAGTTCTAGTCAGTGAATCGTCTACTCCCATTAGAAAAGGTTGTTTTTCTCCATCACAGACTGTGAATATTAAGTTCTTTATGCCTCTTTAGTAAATGCGGTTTTGTTTTGGATGATAAAAGTGAAAAACAATTTGTTGCCTGAATTGTATTTTTTTATTGAACTTCTCAGGCACAAGCAGACGGTAAGGTTAGTTTTTAAAACTTTCAAACTGCTGGTGGTCGTATGTGGCCTGCGGGACTGGAGTTTGTGACCCTCAGTATAAAACTTCAAATTAAATTCTCTGCTTTGTGTCTCAGTTTAAAGCTGGTTTAGTGCCATTTCCCCCCCCCTCCAAATCTCAATAAATATGTTGCCTTAAATTCAGACATATACTGCGCTAGTAGAACAAACATCAAGTTGGCGGGCTGCCACACAGGCATCAAAATAATTAGATTGCTGCTTTGACCACCGTTGTCCAACAGAGAAAATTATATCCTTCTGAGGAGAGTCACACTTTCAGTTCAGCTAAAAAAAAAAACGGTAAATGACAGGCTGATTAATGTTGACATGGCGTGAAGCATCCCCATGATTGCTGCTGTGCACAGCAGGACCAAAAGTCTGAGTTTAAAATGTTCTTTTTAAGAAAGATTAAAAAAAAAGAAGTGGTTCTTTGTGGCAAACCTCTCAGTGTCAATGCACAAATGTTATTTTTCTAACTCTGACAAATCAGGAAATTAATTAAACTTCGCCAAAGAGTAAACATCAATTCATTCCTTCTTACTGTTTAAAAGTCAAAACATCTTGACTTTTAAACATTTGAGCATGTGACAAATAAACTCTTGAAGGCGAGCCCCGCAGAAAAAATTGGGTAATAAAAGTTACAAATGTATTTATTTAACTATAAAAAAGATATCAGCAGCGAGAGCAGCCATATGCCTTATTAATTAGGTTATTAATTAGTTAATTCTAAGTCGTTGAGACCATAATGTAGTCATTTTTTTAAGCTAGCATTAATTAGTGCTTCGTTCTTAAGACGAGTCAGTGTGAGCTGATACCTCCCCCACCACCCGTCTCTTCTGAGGTCGTTAACATTTTTACTTCCTTTCTGATTGTTCTCTCCCCACAGTAATGGATGTCACTGACATCATAACTGGAAAAATGGACGACGAGGACAAGCAGCACTTCATCCCATTTCAGCCGTAAGTGTTGAGCAGCGTTGCAGCCGACACAAATGTACGCGGCCGTGTTGTTTACGATCGTTAGGTTAACGTTGTTGGAATCTTTTCACAGTCGTTTCTGTTAACACAAACGTAATGTCAGCCTCGTTTTTTTTTTCTATTGTCCTGAATCCTTGACTCCTGATTAGTGGAGGTTACACTGTAGCTCTCTTCTATCCCCAGCTGACGCAATTAAAGCAGTCTTATTAACTGCTGCCATTCTTGTAGGACAAGGTGCAGAAAGCCAGAGTAACCTTTTCCTTAACGCGGTTTCATGCATAATTAGGACTAGTTCAGATTCAGGCAGTTTAACAGGCAGAACATCCCACTTACCCTTTTTCCCCATGAACATAAATCATGGAAATGAGATTCTCCCAGTGTGAGTAAAAAGAACAGGATCTACAAGGCTTATTTATGTCCAAGGGAGAATATTTGCCTTTTCACTGACTTTTAACAGACGAAGTTTTGAAACAACAGCAGTACTGGGTGTTTTCTCAAGTACAGCAGAGGCAGGAAGGAGTGAAGGAGCTATTTTTGGGAGCGTTTGAATCCCCATTGTGATCCAGACTAAGCGCTGTCGTTAAAACAAAAGAGGAACCGGCTCCTCTTTTGGACTTTTAATATATAGCAGTTGAAAACTGAAAACTACAATTTGTTTGTCATTGTTAGTTTATCATAATTTACCAGCATGAACTCACGTGACTGAAAAATGCCACTGGAAACCTTGAATACTAGTACTTTTATTATTTAGTAGTATTTAGTTTGCGTGTGTGCATCTCTACTTCTGTCTTGTTGTTTTTATTTCACAGTAAAGTCCTAAAATTTGACAGAAAAACTTTCCTCCATCCTTCAGGCTGATGTCATCACTTTTCTTCCTGTTTACTCACCCTTCATCAGCAGCCCACCTTACACGTCTCACTCGCAGCTTGTTTACCCTCCAAAAGGGCATAGCAACTGTACTTTCTCAGGCCGACTTGTTTCAGTTTAGTAGTCTCCAAACCAGAGCAGGTCATATTTTAGTCGACGTCCTCCTACTGAGAAGGCAGAGTGTGGGCAGGATTTGATACATTCAGGTGCTTCATGGATTTATAAGTGTCTGGCTTTGGAACCTTTTCAAGACAGATTGCTGGCAGGTCAAATTTCCCACTGCTGCAGGGGCTCAGAAAATGCTGACTACCATCATTTCCTGAACAATATTTTTCTGTGTGTTTCTGTCACCACCCATCCTGCCTTAATGTTAACTGCTAACAAGTGGCTTTGTGTCTGTCATGGAATTGCCATCACTCTTCGGTGTGTCTCTCCCTCTGTGTCTCTCCCTCTCATCCCACGTCCCTTTTCTTACAACCATCACTTTGTGGCACTTCCCATCCCATTGGCTCCGTTCGTCTTTCTCTGCAACCTCCTCTCTCTTGTGTGGTGTTTGCCTGTCGTGTGCCTACTGCAGGCTAGCGTTGGATGACGCCATTCGCCACAAGCAGCTGAACATCTCCCGTTTTTCACCCAGGGTGGCGGGGGAGAACGACTTCCTCCAGACAGTCATCAACAAAGTCATCACTGCCAAAGAGGTCAATCACAAGGGACAAGGTATGGTACACATACCACATGCTGGGACCACAACCCCTCCCCCCCTGTCTTTCCTCACGTTTAAGGTGAGAAATGAATACATGTTTCAGTTAGCAGTAGCCCTAAAGAACTCTGTTGCTAACGGTAGTTTCTCAAACCAGCAGCGTCTGATACTTTTCCACTACACAACCTTTCCAGTGTCTGAATACCAGATGAGTGACTTGACATTTCAGAACAATTTTACACACCCATCATCTGGATACAATCTCTCTTAAAAAAAAAATCCTCAGAAGAGAGAAGAAGGCAATCAATTCAGAAAGCTTAGCAGAATCAAAAAGAACAATAACAACAGGCTGAAGGTTGAGGTGTGCCCGCTGCTATTTATGTACAGGACTGTCTTTAGTTGTCCTTCGTCTTTAAAAAGTAAGGATGAGTTTGTCTCTTGAATTTAAATGAATGTTGGAGGCTGGAAACCTCACCTTTTACTAAATCATGAAGCACTTCTGTATTTTTATATATATTTATATATATATATTTGTCTTCTCCTATAGTGTGCAGAAACTCTGCACGGTTCTGAGAACAAAAATCTTAGTCAGCTTCTCGCATGGTAAATCACTGCTAATGCTATATATAGTTGGCCCTGTCGCCATGACTACTGGATCTAAGTAATCCAGCTGTTAATTAGGCTGCTGCTTTGACATCTCTGGTTAGAAGAAAGAGCATTGTGCAACGACTCACAGATCTGCGCAGGGATGCAGGGATCACATGACATGACAGCCTTCATGACTTTGTCAGGGCCTGTGAAGACGAACATGGGTAAATGTCAGATGTGCTGCGTCCCACACCGGTGGAAAACTGAGAGCAGCTGTTGTGGTCACGCAGATTTATCAGTCTCTCAGCCTGTCTCGCGGAGGACGAGTCATTCAGGCCAGAACGGGCCTGTTCAGTGAAATAAACGAAGCATCTGGCTTTTACAGACACTGTTTATTTCGGTGTCCTGGTAAGTGTGCAAGCTGCAGGATGCCTGCATAATTGGAAGCCCTCTTTTATTCCAGTCCTACTCAGAAGAATGTCTCTGTGCTGCTTTGCTTGTGATACGGCTGCACCGCTGAAGCTGGGAGGCCATGACGAGTTCAAAGAACAAAGCCTTTTCTGACAGTGTTCAAAGCAAAGTAGCTACTATACTAGGTTCTATTCAGTCGGTGGTGCTGAAGTGCCCTGCATGTCTTCAAGTGGGGCGCTCGTAGATAAATTGGATGTTGTGCAGAAGAATGCTGCTAGGATAAAGTATACCTTACCGAGGATGTCTGCGGATGAGGGGGAAATGAGTTTTTGCATTTAGTTGAGAGACATTATGCTAATCTTTAAAATTAGTTTACAAGGTCCCGTGTCTCGTGGCATTTGAATATTTTAAGGCACAGTAAAAAGGTTGGTAAAAATCTGTGAAACAGACATCAGAGTCAGAGTGCTCAACAATATAAACACTATAGAAAATCACCCAGAAGGAAGGTATCAGCACACACAGCTACAAACTACCTAACTGATCGATAATGTTGCACTGTTACCCTGAGAATAAAAAATACACATATTTGACTTAAGGAAGTAATCTTTCTGACATGCTGATATCTAAAGTAGGGAGCGGGCCACCCCAGGGGGCACAGAGCCATACAATACACTTTGGAGTTCCAGATGGCATCAATAAAACACATGTTAAAACAAAAGACCTCTTCAAGTGTCAGGAATTTATGTTAGAAGCCATTTTAATGAGATCTACAGCTAGAAATCGAAGTGTAAATTAAATTTTTTTTTTTTTACTTTTTTATATACTTTTAGATTTGAGACTGCTGATTCAGATTGATTATCATGTATCTCAACTTCAGTAAAACAAATCTTTAACCAGACATATAAACACATACACTTCTTTCCTCTTGCTTCTCTAATCAACCCGTCCCTAATGGGACCTGTGTTCTGTTCTGGTATTATAATCTGGCCGATCACTCACAGCCATCTGTGTATTCACAGTCCTATCTTGATTCTTCACTTTTTCGTTGCTCTGAACGTATCCAGGGCTGTGGGTGACTCTCAAGCTGCTTCCTGGAGACATCCATCAGATAAGGAAGGACTTCCCTCATCTTGTAGATCGATCGACTGCAGTGGCTCGAAAAATGGGCTTCCCTGAGATCATCATGCCAGGTTGAGTGTTTGATAATGCTTCTCCTTAGCCGTCACTCCCTGATTTACTTCACACATCTTAAAAGTGATTCCAAAACAAGGACTTCTACAAAAGAGATTAAAGCTGCAGTCCTCTGTCTAAAAAAGCATCTGTGTTGCTTTTTTTAAAGGTGACGTACGAAATGACATCTACGTGACGCTGGTTCAGGGAGACTTTGACAAGGGCAGCAAAACTGCGCACAAGAACGTTGAAGTGACCATGTCTGTCTACGATGAGGACGGCAAGAAACTGGAGGTAAGACGAAGGAGTTCTGCCCTCCTTTCAATGTATTTTTGCACTCCTTTGACCACTAATTTTTAATATTCAGATGTGCTTCAGTAGCCAATCACACACTCTCGCTCTGAGAGTCTGTGATTTAACAGGGCTTACTCAATTTAGCTTGGCCCACGCAGGCCCAGCGCATTGCTCAACTGACCGAGCCGCCAATAAAACAGTGTGGTCCAAAGACGAGGCTGTGTGCGTTTGCCACCTGCTTTAAGGCTGATAGGCTCACCACTGTGAATGTCATTTTCAGAGTGGGTTACAGTCCCCAAGTGACCAGGTGGGACATGTGGGTGGTGGGTACCTGATATAATAACAGAGGAGCGGATTTGGAAGATGATGTCATCTAAAAATATATAACCCTCTTGTTTGTAGTCAGACTGACCACATAACATAAACATTATGATTGTGGTTGGAGTGAATGAGGTGTGTCATTGCCCTCAGGGGTAGTTTATTCATGATGACATGAGCAAGACCTACAATATTAACAATTCAATAATTTACCCTAACAAGTGTATTTTTTGGAAGAAAAAAATGCTTTTTTTAAAGTAATATTTTATTTACTTTAACCTTAGATTGATCTTTTTTTATTGTTTAATGAATGAGGTTAAAATGATTTTAACAAATTTAAATAGCCTTCTATTAACGAGAAGAGACTAACTCTGGCTGTAAACATTTTCCTCTGTCCTCACTGTGGTTTGGGTTGGCTCACACCTAAACACTGCAAGTTACTGTTTCCCCCAAAGAGTTGTGTCACCTATATGACACTGCCTTCCACTTCATTGCATATTAATGGAAATCCAACCTAAACAGTATGGTGACATTATTCTCTACACAAATAAAAATCTTGTTTTGTGTGGCGTGGGGACATCTGTGATTCCTTTGTCTTTGTGGAATCTTTGTCTCATCTGGAGTTTGATATTCTTACAGAAATAGTCACGTAGTGTGGTGGGACTTTCGGACGGTGGCTTTGTGTCACCTCGACATATTGGCAGAACCCCTCAGACCTCTCACACCTGCTGCTAGGCCTTGGACGAACTCCTCTTGCTCTTTTTTTTATCTTCCCCAACTCAAAACTCATGAATCTTTCATGAAAGAGTTGCAGGAGCTGGCACCTGCCCCACTCTGTTCAGCATGGCTGTGGGTGAGGGGCTGTTATTCCTCATAATTGCTGGTTGTCACAAACCATTAGTGTTGGAGTACTTCACCAGAGGAACACCAGCGAGCCATGCATTCAGCTGCAGCAGTGGGAGGAAAGAGTCAGGCTGACTGAGAGAAACACGGCATATGTGCCATCCACAGTCACTCCGTCCTGGTGCCAGATCCCCCACCGGGGAAAATACTAGTTTCCATACACACCCTGACCTGTTGTAGAAACTCAGGGGAACCATTAGGCACACAACTTTACATGGCTGGATCCGTCGGCACCAGCTGGTGCTTCTCCGTGTGCCTGGATCTCTTCACTTCTCTGTGCATGGGAGCCATTGCGTTCTGTTAAATAATTAATTTCTCATTTATTTCTTATTTCCACACTGCTGTCGTGAGATTGGCAGCCAACAGGCAGGTGCTCAGTGCATCCACGCTTCATCCATACTTTGTGCCCCAGGGAGTCCTTTTCACAGAATCATCTCCAGTTGATTTTCCCCATACTGCCAGTGTGCTAATGTTTTGACAGGAAGATAATAATGATTAGGACTCTCGCCAGCTGTTCATACCATAACTTGTTTTATGCAATTTTGTTTCCTCCATCTAGAACGTGATCTTCCCTGGAGCTGGAGATGATGGCATCAATGAGTACAAGTCTGTCATCTATTACCAAGTAAAGCAGCCACGCTGGTTTGAAACAGTCAAGGTGTGTCTCTGATTACTGGTAGTTACTTAGTGTTTTTCTGTTGGGACTCTTCCTCATTCCTTACCTGAAAAACAAAACAACAGTTTATGAAACCATCTGCTAAGCAGACACCTCATCAAGACATCACATATAACAGGCATAAATAAAATAAAAATCGCATTTTTGTCTAATATAATTATTTGATTTAAATTTTCTGAATACAGTCGTGGACAGAATTGGATGGTTTGGTCTGTCAAGTTCACCCTGATCCGTCTCAGTCCTATCTGTAAATTACCAGCCAACAACTTATTAACTTTGCTGCCAACACATTTCAGCTCACTAATAAAGAGTTTACTCTGTTAATCTGTTTACAGAGTATAAATTCAGTCATTAAAAAAAAAAAATTCTTTCAGGTCCTCTTTCCTGTAAATAGGGTCAAATTACAAACAGACATCATGTTCTATTGAAGGTGAAGGGGAACTAGTTGTTTAGTTCAGGAAATCTTTTAGTTGGATGAGGAGAGGCTTCATCTACAGCTTATTTTATTGAGACAAGACACAGAGTAGTTCTGGTGATCTTTGGCAGCTGATTGGTTGCCACATCCTCTTCATATACTGTATATAATCTGTGGCTGCTGTGTACAGAGCTGGTTTCCTGGTTTTCCCCTGGTTTCTAGTCCTAATTGTAAATGAAGTCCTGTCCTCCATGGCCATGACAGTACAAATGTAAACAGGTCAAGAAATTCACTATTTTTCCACTAAATGTTTTTCATGCTCGCTGGAGAGTAACACCAGGGATTAAACCGTTGACCTTGTTGCTGTAAGGCATGAACATCAACCACCTTTCCACTGTTTAGGTCCAGCAAATTAAATGGACCTTTAATCTATATCAGTGGTATTATTATACCAATAGGTTTCACTGTTCTCAAAAGCATTTATTATCTTCATATTTTTTTTGTTTTGCTTTTTTTCTGTTTTTGATGTAAGTAGTCTTCAAAAATAGTCTTTGGTTATTCAGACAAAGACATATGACTGTGTTCTTCCTGCGTCTCATCCCAGGTTGCCATTCCCATTGAAGATGTAAACCGCAGCCACTTGCGGTTCACCTTTCGCCATCGCTCCTCGCAGGACTGTAAGTACAAAAAAAACCCACTCTTTGTTGATGATCAGACATGAAGCTGGCTGCTAATCTGCCTGCTACAAAAATGGATGTTTTCCAATCCAGGCAGATGTGTTTCAGTCTGATAAATACTTTGAAGTCCAACCTTTGTCACATTAATCAGAGGCTTCATTCTGCCCCTCTGCAAAGCAATGTCATGGAGCGGCTTGTCACAGAATACAGCTGGGATGTGAAAAATGCCCCCGGGAGCTCATTTGTTTATTGGAAATCGCTTCTAGCTGAAGGCAGCCTGCGTTGTACACCCTTCTGTTTTAGAACATGCTTTTTTAATTTGAGGGAGTTGCAGGGTGGGAGGTGGTAAAGACTACCGTTCCACCCCAACCCTCGCCACCCCCACTGCAGGTGATGGGCAAAGTGTTTGACACGCGGGCCACAGTGGGTTCTAAAATTTGACGGGGAGGAGGGCCAGGAACAGATAGATGAAGTGTGGGTGTGAACTAAGATAAATGACATGTAAAAGCATAAATGCTTTTATCATTTACTAACCCTCATGGTGAAGTGATGATGTTGCTGATATTGTTTTCTTTGATAATAGTGACAGTACTTGGCATTTCAGACATACAGCCGTATACAGTTGATCGGACTTCAGTGAAAACATATTTTGTTGTCCACTTGACACTCACTGTGCCGCATTAAAAAGCCTGATGTGCCGTAGCCGCCCCCGAGCCGTAGATTGCCCATGCCACGCCCTGCTGTCTAACAAGTTAGCTTCAATGACTGAAAAAATGACACAGAAAAAGGGATCAATTTTTCCATTTTAAGGAATATTACAGTCGGTGTAACAGGTGTGTCCTGCACATGAAAACAACTCTGTTATACCACACAGGCAGTACTGAGTGGGTATCAGCATAGAAGGGTGTACTTTCTACTTCAAGTGTAGAAATCTGGAGTTGCTGTCATCCTCCAGGTTTTTTTTAAATCGGTCTAGCTCAGTTTTCCTCTCACATGCATGCTGGGGGTTTGATAGCAATGACCAATTCTCAGAGCTCAGTGCTGGCTCATAATCCATGTGGAGAGCCTCCTTGTCATGCCTGGTGCCTTGCCTCTGCAGTGGTTAAAAGTGTTATAAGGCGAGCCTTTGAATCTCTGTGACTCGCTGTTATCTGGCTGAAAAGGTTGCTTTAAGAACACCTTGAGTGACTCTGTGACTGCAGGAGCATGCTGATGCTGCCTTCGCCTCTCCAGCTGCGGTCAGAACATACACCGCAATGAACTGAAAAAGCCGTCTTTGGCTCGTCTTTCATTTTCACGTCCACGCTTAATACTTAAGAAACATCACTTCTTAAAAGTGAACCAAAGACCAAAGAGTTGTCATCTCACCTACAGTATATTCTTTTCCCGGGCTGGTTGGCATGACGCAGTGTTTCCCCTTCATCGGTTCCTCTCATGCTATCATAGCAATTATTCACGAAGAAGGCTGCAGGCAGCAGACCAATGAGGGGATTTATGCAGATAGAAAGTGCTGGATACTTCCATGAATCAAGACTCTCCTGCACATAAATTTGGGCTTGTTGATTCACCTTGGTGATATATGTGGCCCTGTCCAAACACCAGGTTATAGGACAAAGTCATAACTCTGCTGCTCGTTTATGCAGCACGTCACCTACACAACTGCCTAAACACTCTCATACACACACACATACACACACGTACACGTGTGAACACAAGCAGCATCCCATCTGGCGTGAAACGCCAGTCAGAGCTTAAATCAATATAATTAGACCAAGCAGGATGCGGACATACTCATTCATATTAATATTGATCTCATATTATTTTAATATATGATCTCGTTTCCTTAAATGTATGAACTCTATTTTTATGGCAAGAAAACAATTAAATGTTGCCCTGATTTATCCAGGGTGTGTTTGCCTCGAAGAGATAAAAAAATAAAAAAGTTCCTCCACAGATCAATAAAGGTTTCATAAGGGAACACTTAATTCTTTTGCCAACTCAGGAGCTGACTCAGGGCCTACTGTATATTGCTGAGATTTACATTGGGGATTATCTGTTTTATTAGTCTGCTAGTTTGCTAATGAGTTGTTGTAGAGTACAGTCAGCCATGCAGCATAGTTTTACTGAAATGTATCTGTATGTGCTTACATGAAGCTTTATGTTTCCCACATCTGTCTTTGTCGTACCCAAACAGTCACATGTGAAATTCCAGTTTGGCTCTAGTTTCCTGTGTCCTTAAAAAAATGTCTCCATCATTTTGGTCCACTCTCCAGGCTTTCTGAGAGTTTGCATGTTCTCACTGCGGGGATGTAGGTTTTCCTGAGCTACTCGTTTTTTTCCCACAGTCCCACACCATGCAGATCAAGTCAACTGAACCGTCAGAGTCATTTATCTTCATACAGCGTGTGATGCATACACTAAGTTGTTTTCGTTTGTTTCCTCCTATAGCAAAAGACAAGTCAGAGAAGATATTTATCGTTTGTTTCCTCCTACAGCAAAAGACAAGTCAGAGAAGATATTTGCGCTGTCTTTCGTGAAGCTGATGCGGTACGATGGGACCACCCTGAGGGACGGCGAGCACGATTTTATTGTGTACAAGGTGAATGCGTAATTCCGTCTGTGGTTTCTTAGTTATTACGAGTCTCCCTGTGGAGTCAGCCCACTCCTGTCATGACCGGACCCTCACAGTGATGAGGTGTGGATGGAAAAAATTACTACTGCACTAAATGTACTTTCACTGCCTTCTGTACAGAATTGTGCAGCGGCTACTTGTCAATGCTAAAGTAATATGTAATCAGCATCCAAGTAAAGTCACTGTATAATTATACCTTTGCAATAAAGTAGTTGTTATGCTGTATGTTATAGGTTATAGGTTATATGGCTACCAGAGTCAACATAAATTTACGTCACAAATTTAACTTACAATAATCTTCCAGGAGCATAAAGGTTACCAATTTAAAAAACAATTAGCAGACACAAATGTCAAATATGATGTAAGAATTAATGAGCTCGGCGAGCTGCCTCTTTTGTGAAATGTTAATTTGCCCTGACGTTGACTGAATCTCTTCTTGGAAACCAGGCCGAGGCGAAGAAGATGGAAGAGTCGTCGTTGTACCTGAACCTGCCGGCCACCAAGCTGGAGCTGGAAGAGAAGGGCTACTCAACAACCGGTAAAAGTACCCACAACCTAGGCAACTGCACCATCAGCAAGGACTCCTTCCAGATCTCCACACTGGTCTGCTCCACCAAACTCACCCAGAATGGTAAGACCCTCTAAATGTCCACAAAAGCTTAGTATAAAAGCAATGCAACCTCTCTGGCTCTCTGTGGTTGATAATGGTAAGATAATTTAAAACGTATGAAAAAATAAACATAATCGACGTTAAACATTTGAAAGGAAATACATCTGAAAACAGTTTTGCAGCAAAGAACAAATTATTCCTACCCTGTCTTTATAAATGACTAAACTTGCACTGTCCTCTTGCCCTCACTCACAGATTTCATCCCCTTTTCTGCCCTACTTCAGCAGTTTCTTTTTGTGTCCAACCCAGTTAGTGGATTGAAGACACTTCACTGCTGTCAGTTGGGCACAGACCTTTCCTTTTTATTTCCCCCGGTGAAAGGAGGGGAAAAAAACACTTATTAAATCAAAGAAATTCCCATGTGCTCCTTGTGGTCCATTGATTCAGCCTCTCCCTGTTGGGTTCGGAGCTGCTTCTATTAGTACTACAAATACCCAACAGACTACACTGAAACCCCCCTGGCCTTGTCAGTGTTTTCTTTGTGTCGTGGTTGTCTCCGTTTGGACTTTGGGGATAGCTGTTTAATACGACGTTAAAGTCATTTTGCTCTTATGATGAAAAGGCTCGAAAAAATAATTAGGAAAGATTAATCAGATTTTTTTTTTTAAATGAACCCATTTAACAAATGGGCAGGATGACATGCACCGTATTTCCCATAATTCCACTATACCTCTTATCATTGCTCTTAAACAAAACCAATGCATGTGTTATTTGTGCACATTTTGGGAAAACGTTTTAGTTTCATGAATCAACTCAAGCTTAAAATACTCTCAGTGCCCAGCGTGCATTCTATGTTTCAGATTAGTCATTAGTATTTTTTTATTTTGCTGTAACACAGAAATATAGTTTAAGAATGTTGACTCATCTTGATTAATCCTGATTAAGAACAATTAATCCAAGACCACCCAGTGATTAATTAGAATAAATATGTAATGGTTTGAGAGACCTTATATATACACAACCTCTCCAAATGTTTACTTTCGTTTCTTCTTTCTTAGCAAATACACTGTGATCCAGTGTTTGCTTTGCAGTGTTTTGCGATGCAGGACTGAGTCATTTTTAATTAGAGTAAGAATATTCTCATTTATCACAATGCCGGGTGCTGTAGCAGAAATAGAAAATAAAAAGTTGACAGATTCACTGCTGGCGAACTTTTTTTGCTTCAAAAGAAATGAATTGTTTTGTTCACCCAGTGCAACACCCAGTTTTAATAGGAAGTCAGCCGTGACCTTGTGTTTTTATTAATAGTAAAACAAATTTTAAAAAGTCCAGACCAAGGAGGAATGTTTTTGTGGTTTAACAATTTGTGGTCTGTGTGTAGAGTCGAGAGTCATAACTGAAAAGTCCCAAAATTGTTGTTATCGGTTGTCATTGTCATCTACAACTTTTGAGGTTAGCTTCGTGGCGTAAGGATGTTCAGGTGCTTTAACCTAACAGAAAGTAAACTCCTGAAACTGAATAAAATGCAGTCTTTTTCCCAGTGTGGCACAAATAAAAAAAATATTAAAAATTAAAAATGTTTCAAATTCTGCCCCCGAGAATAAACATTGTTGTGTAGGATATGAAAACAGCAAATAAAAATTAATTGCATGATGTTTGGCTAAATGTTGAAGTGAAATGTTTCATCATGCTTTTTCATTTTTAAAGCTGTCCTGCAAATGGCCTTATTTTCTTTTTTGAAAAAAGCAACCACATTTCAAACGTCTTCTGCCTCATGCCTCGGCATGTTGTAAACATTCCTAAGTTAGGGAGCGTGCGTCCCTTGGTACGTCATCAAACAAATGCGTCAGTGGAATGGCTAAGAATAACCATCCTGTCCGTGAATATGTGTCTGTTTTTAAAAATCATCCTTTTTTTTTTTTAATAGTCACAACCTCACACTATTTCAACTTGAATCCCATGTTTGTCTGTAATTCAGTCAGCGCGCTGCGGCTCAGGTTTACTGTGAAACCAATATGATGTCACTTAATGATCTGATTGCTGTAGAGCAGACCAGCAGTCAAACAGGTTGTAAACAGAAGATTGTTTAAACCACTTTATTTGGCAATAAAAGTAAAACCACGCGCACTTGAAAAGTGTGTGTGTGTGTGTGTGTGTGTGTGTACACACATGTATGTGTATGTGTGTGTGATTTAAAAACAGTGTAAACAGTCTGAAGTCGAACCACGCCCTGCTTTGTTAGATCTGTGAGGCCCAGCTGTGATATTTTGTGACCTCATCAGCCACATCCCAGTCTGTCGACAGACGACATCAGCGACACCTAGCCAGCCGTGCTGTCATAGTTGGTGAATGCAATATTTCCCTCTCAATGTGATTGAGTGTGCATGTGCGTGGAATGTGACATGTAGACAGAAACAGTGCAGGTGACGAAAAATAGTCCTCACGTCTAGTCCGACGGTACGCTGTGGTGCAGTGTGTCGGCCCACTGGACAGTAAAGGTTTTATGGATGCTTTGACGGCCCACACACAGACACTTTCATTTCCTCCAATAAAGTAGAATGAGGAAGAGATTGGTGCAGAAGAGAACGGTGAACAGTGCTGCACACTATTCTACTGTGATGACCGCGGAAGTATAACTGCCATAGTTGAAGCAAAACAATGGGTTTCACCGGCTTTATGGTGAGGGAGAGGGACGTGTTGACACAAGTTAAGATAAGTCTGTGCGTCACTGCTATTGATTGTTGACCAGACAGCCATATATATATATATATATATGGAGCATTGTTTCCATGGGAGCTAACATCCCTATTTTCTCCTTTCTGTCATTGTTTCAGATGGTCATGTCATGTGAAACATTTTTATAACAGTACTGTATTTTCCGGACTGCAAGTCGCACTTCTTTTTCCTTTCTTTTTTTATCCTTTGGTTTGGTTTGCAACCAATATTCAGGTTAAAATTATTTATTAAAAACACTTATTCAGCCTGTTGTTCTATATTATATTATTATTATTATTACTATTATTATATTATTACTATTATTATAACTTGCATTTCAAGATGAAATGGTCTTGGATTTTCTTCTTCATAATGCATTTTTTGGCAGGTTCGACTTATAGTTCTGGAAAATATGGTATATCATGTCCCTCCATCAATTTACAGGTAGAATTTGTTAATCCGTCAGTGACCATGGCAACAAATTAGAAAAATTGTGTTCTCCCCTTTGCAGCAGTTGTGTTTTAATATACGCCATAAATACCAAATGGCCGGAGCTTTGTTTGTTACATGCAGTAGTTACCAGGTGGACACTTGGGGAAAAGAAAAATACTGGCCACATGGCGTTGTTAATGTCCTTGACTGTTTAATGTGGGTGACAGTCACTGATGGTCTGTTTATCATTGCCGTGTTTTTATGGGCCAAATCAGCTGTCATTATCAGAAAGTTCCTAACCACACTCCATTCACATTTACATGAATAATTTACATTGCTAATATGTGATCTACAAAACAGACTTAATGTTATGCAGAAAAAAGACCCAGAACCTGCAATTCAGGGTTAATGGTCACCAGTAAAGACTGGATTTCAGGCTGGATCAAGTAAAAAGATATAATTAAAAAAAACATTTAATTAATTTTTCAATTAATTTGCTTTTTACAGCTGAAAAATAACAGACAGAACTCACAGTCCCAAGAGCATAGACATTTTGTTCTATATATAGTTATTTAATTTCACAACATTTAAATTTCATTTAAATCTGATAAAAAAAGCTCTAATTCTTAGCAGTAAAAAATAATAGTTTTCAGACCAATTCGGTGGAATTGGATAATTTTCCTCAGTACACCTGATGATCTCTAACGGCACACTAACGTGCCACAGCACAGTGGTTGGTAATCACTTGAGGTTTTTATTTTAAAAAAAGAGTAACTCTTAATACAAAAGCAGGGAATCTGCCTTTAAAAGCCTCTTCTCTGCAGAACGCTTACTTCATACACATGACTTCTAACCTCCTGATTTCATGTCTTGGACAAAATGTTATTTTTATTTTAAATTAGGCCTGATTTATGCATGCAGCCTCACAGCAAGTGTGAGCTTTTGTGAAGTGGTGACTGCTTCCTCCCTGGGTGTTTGGAGTGTGCTTCACTAAATGGGAGGCTGAAGGAGAAGCTGAGGTGATAGCATGATGACAGAGGTGCCAACAGAAGTGGCCTGGTGAAGAAAACACCCCTGCCCTCCAGTCTTCCCACCCTCACCTCCATCCTGCCCCTCCACAGGGGGAATGGAACACATTTAATCATAAAAAAAAAAAAATCCCCTCATGTTTGCACGAGTGCTTTTGCATAATCATTTTTAAGAAAAAGTGTGAGGAGGGCACTTTAAAAAGAATTTGCGTTATTAAAATGAAAGAACAAGTCACTTAGTTAGCTCCACTTCTGCTACATGCTGAAAAATACTAAAAAAATACTTTTGTAAGTCCATGTTCTGTAAACAAACATTCAAAGCCCTAGCTTCTACAGCTACCACCGGTAGAATTATTTACCCGTCCACTCTCCGTTTGATTTGACATTTTTTTTAGTATCTTCTTGAATCCAGCACTCTGCAGGAACATTCACTTTTATTGCTGTGCGATTCACCCAAAGCATTAAGTGGTTTCTCCTTAAGAGAGTTTTGCTCTTTAACCATGACACCCCGCCTCACCTGCTGTTTGACACGGACAGCGCGGCCGATAAAACAGTGTCTCATTGGAGCCCTGCTGTCTGCTGATTCATTCACGTTCTGTCCAAGCTGTCTCTCAGAGGTGCTGAGGTGTCGGGTTTCAAATTTACGTCTCCTTGAGGAGGGAGATCCCTCATATGTTTAAGTAGGTTGGTGACGGAGCCTTGATAAGTTGTCACTTCTGCCGATCTCAGACATCCATCACTGCATCTTCTACGCTGTATCAAATATGCAAACCCTTGCTGGGGCAAATGGGGGTCAAGTCGCTGCTCCCTAAAAAGCCAGAGTTTTGAAAGGAATTGTCTGCGTCAGCTAGGTCAATGTGGCTGAATTTCTTTAACCAGCAAAATAATCAATTCTATTCCTAAGACAAGACCTAAGACGCAGGTTGTGACCTCTGGTGAAGGTCATCCTCCAGCATTCTCCAAAAACGTAATTCTCTGATGGAAACATCGCTTGCAGAACTGAGGATATGTACCGTATTTTTTGGACTATAAGTCACTCCGGAATATAAGTCGCACCAGTGCCATCTATTGGCTGTCTGTGTAAAAATAACAAACGTGAAATCATATATTTTAATATATACGTCACACCTGAGTATAAGTCGCAAACCCAGCCAAAGGATGAAAAAAAGTGCGACTCTAGAATCTAATAATACAGATGTAACCCAAAAGAATATCAAATATACAGTATGCATATTTTAGAAATGTAAACCACTGATCTCTCTCTTTGTAATTTCTTTTTGTTTTCACATGCTCACACACAGTAAACCCATCTGGACTAATGCAGTTTCTAAAACATTGAGTGTTACATTTGAGGCCACTCTTCTGTTTTACAGTGCCATTACAGGAGGACACAACTGTATACTGAAGCTCCTAATTTGATAAACTGCCAAAGATGGTTTGAATGAGCTCTGTTTAATGTGATTAATTACACAGTCACTGGTACTTTTTTGTCTGATTTATCGTCTGTGATTCAAGAGAGATTTATGACTGGCGCTGCTTTTTTTTCTTTCAAATGTACAAAGTAGTAGTGTGTGCGTTTGTCTGTGTGTATGAGGTGCCTAAATTTTACTTGCAGATGTCTAACCCTCATCTCAATTATCATACGTTACTGCCTCTTCTGTCTTTGCTGCTACTTTTAGACCTTGGACAGCGTCCCAAAATGTCCTAAATTCATTAAGTGCACATCTTACATGCATGAGATGTGCACTTAATGAACTTACTTGGACACTGACTGTGCAGCGTATGTCACCTCTTTTATAAATATACTAGTTGCCTATTTTTCCCCTTCTTGTAGAAACAAATGGCCATGATATATTTACATAGATTTCCCTTTATTTGCATATTTTAAAACACTGTTTTCCAACCTCATTTGAGCCACAGCTCATATTTTTAGATTAGACAAATCCCCCAGCGCGCCACTAGTTCTTCTAGTTTTAATTTACTCACAATGGAACTGCTCAATTGTGGCCTTAGTTGAACAAGCCTGGAATAAAAGGAGTACAGGAAAGACAGAAAAGTTCTTCTTTAAAGGCTCCAGAAAGTCACAAATTCATCCACAAGTAGAAAGTCACACAATTGTTCATTCGAGTTATAATAAGTGCTCAATCCTTTGAAATGGAAGGCTGAAATTAAAGGTCAAAAACAAGGTTAAAAAACAAGAGTCAAACCTCTATGGAAAAAAATAGTGCAAAAAAAGCCATGTAAAATATAGCAGTTGTGACTATGTAAATACTTCGACCAATTGAAGGATTTGAATAAATGTTCATTGCAAACAGGAACACAAAATGCATTGTAAAACATAACAGCAGTAACCCGAACAGTATTTCTGCATGTGTGTTTTTCCCAGTGGACCTGCTGGGCCTGCTCAAGTGGCGCTCCAACACCAGCCTTTTGCAGCAGAACCTGCGACATCTGATGAAGGTGGAAGGCGGCGAGGTCGTCAAGGTCAGATGACCACAGTAATACTGTGCTGTGTTGACTTTTTTTTTTTTTCCAGACACCAAGGTCCTTCAAATTTAAAGCATTTTGCATAGCAATAGCGTTAAGGTTTACGGAGTACATTCCTGCGACTGTTCTCATCACCTGTGTACGTTGATAGCGTTAAGGTTTACGGAGTATATTCCTGTGACTGTTCTCATCACCTGTGTACGTTGAAGGGGTGACACACAGCAACCAAAATCTTGCACCTTTCTTATGAGAATGATTTCTGGAAACGTTGCAAAACTCAAGAAATGGAAGTGTTTCAGTGTGAAGTCCAAGGGAGATTCTTTTTTTTTTTTTTGGTCACCTGTTTATTCTGACTCTCCCACCACGTCACCTCTGCTTCAACTGCTTGGGTTAATGCATTTTTATAAAGTAAACATTTCTGCTCCTAATATCTCTAAACACAGCGGTGCACTTGCTGAAGGGTGACCTCCAAACATCAAACACTGTAAACACTGATTAAAAAAGCTGTTTTTTTTATCAGTGATGAATTAAGAATATAACATTTTTATTGAGTCTGACCCTTTAACCTTCTTATAGTTTGTTCTCAACCCCTTCGCCCCTCGAATTCATAAAAATTACTAGCTGTTTTCCCCCAAAAATACCTAAAATTTGACAAATCTGTTTGACACCATGTTTGTTTTTTAGGGCTGTAAGAAATGATCATTTTCATAGTTGATTCATATGGTAATTGTTTTATTAATAAAGGAGAAAAGTGATCCATAGAATGACAACTTCTCTCTGTCTATCCTCGCCCTTCCTCTTCTTCTTCTTCAAGACCTCAATGCTTTTACTCCATGAATGTTCCTCTGAAATAGTGCATGACTACATTCTCAAATTTCTCAAATTTGCACAAATAGAAAATCTAAAAAAGCAAACTGTGTCCAAATGGATTTAACAAAAAGCAAACAACAATTGGTTCAGTCTAAAACATTGTAATCAAATATTTTCGAGGCCAACAGTCTTTTCTTTTCCAATTTGCAGAAATTGTTCTTTTTCTTCTCTTCTCTGCAGTATTGATCATCTGGTGGACTTGACTGTTCACTACAGTACAATATGTTTATTTCACCCTGCCTGGCAACTTCTTCTCTCTCCTTCCGCTCTCCTTAGTGCATTTGCTTCAGCATCAACACCAATAACGAATGAGACGAGTCTAAAATGACAGGAAGTCAATTTTTGGCCGAGGGGATCTGCAGAATTATTTCCACAGCGTCTCCACAGAGCTGCAGCTCCTTGTTACATTCTCACAGCCTAAACTGTTCTCTGTTGACGTACGGTCGGAGAGCGATCAGGAAGCTCCTCTGACGTCTCCGTCATGGAGCCGGTTGTGACTGAACTATACCTCACCCTCTGAAAGTTGGGGTTGTTTCTGTCAGCGAGAACATGATGAACACCATCCACAGTGAATTGACAAATCAGCTCCGATGCGAAAAGATGTTTTCTGCACTTTTACATCTGTTTTCAGAATTGCTGGGGGAAATGGAGCATGTTTTCCCCGGAGAGTTGATGGTGTGTGTACTTGGTGTTTTTTAGAGGTGCTGCTGCTGGTGGGAGTTTTGCTGTCTTTACTCAGCTAGGTTCTCTTGACCCGTCTTTATACAACCCCAAAACACAAGCACTGTATTTTCCAAATGTTTTTTTTTGTCATAATCAACTGCTGCTTTACCCACAGGTCCATGTTTTCTATTTTAAGTAGTGTTACCAGGCTGCTTAATTATGGAAAACAAAAAATAATCAGAGTTTTAATTTAGTCATCATCGAGACCAAAACTATTTAATAGTTTAACATTTAGAGCAGCCTATTTGGCACTAGAAACATCTCACATTACACAACATAAAATGATTAATACAGTTTATAAAATGTAAATAAAATATAAAAGTTCAAATTAAAATATAACATTTATTGATTGTCATTATGTCGACTGTTTCTGCAGGAAAATGTATGTGTTATTACCCCGGCTGTTGATGTTCTGTGTATGAATATAGTAATAGCACCTTCATCAGAGCACAACTTCTTCGACACCTTCTGAGCAGCGTATGTCACATTTCGTTCTCTGACAGAGCCGTTTCTCTCACATCTTGTTTCACTCGGCGTTAATACATTCGATCACCGGTCGTCGACTTGAGTCTCTCTGTTTTTTATGACTATATTTATTCTCCAGTGCTCATCATTACACACTGTGCTTCTGTCGTTCTAGTTTTTGCAAGACACTCTGGACGCTCTCTTCAACATCATGATGGAGAACTCCGACTGTGAGACCTTCGATACTTTGGTGTTTGACGCCTTGGTGAGTTGAGAAGCAGTGGCTTCTTTTATGGAGTTTTCTGTCAATGAAACCAAACACACACTCCCTGGAAAACCTGGAACATTAATGACCACATTTATTGTAATTATTCTGTAAATGATTTATTCTCTCATGCCATACAGTCCACACTGTCACTGGCTGTTGTTTACCCACGTTGCCTTACTTCTTACTTTTAAGCGGACATGCTGCCAGGTCTTACCTTTGGTGCGTTCATGATTCCAGGAGTCTTACCTAAATTATTTCACCTTTAAAATTGTTAAAAACAAAACAGCAAAGAATTGTTATACAACTCCATTCCATTAAAGAGTATATTTTGCCACAATTAAACATTAAAATCAAATGTGTTTGTTTGGCGACATAATGTTAGAAAGCTGCCACCGGTCAAATCGTTTTTGGCTGCACCCTCAGCTGTAGTCAACAATCTGTTCAGTTGGTTTATAAATAGAAGCTTGATTCATCGGTTCCTGGGAAAAGTGCAGACGCATTGCCTTCTGAATGCAATAATTGGTGACAAAAGCTATTTGTCTGACACTAAAAGTCAAATTTTAGAAATTACTTTTTTATTTTATTTCACAGATTTGTCCTGTTGTCAGTCTAATATTTGAGGCCGATGTGTTTAAACAGCATACAGTGAGGTGTCTTGTATGTTTTAGTTCCTGTTAGGTCCAAAGTAGAGTTCAAGAATTTTCTCTACCTTTTTAAAAAAATCTATCCTGCATTATCTATCGGCCAGAGAATTGAGAGAAAATGGCTTTTTGCTTCAATGCAATCTCCTTTAATTTCCCCAATCTATTTTACCTTATTGGTTGAGGAGTCCATTTTTCTTTGGCTCTAAGTTCTGGGCCTCGTGGTTTCCATTTTAATGAAAACGTCTTCCCTCCCTGACAGGTGTTCATAATTGGGCTCATAGCCGACAGAAAGTTCCAGCACTTTAACCCTGTTTTGGAGACCTACATTCGGAAGCATTTCAGCGCCACGCTGGCCTACCTGTGAGTTGATTCATGTCTTTTCACTTTGATTAATAATGAATTTTTCTTTACTGTGTAGCACTTGTCATTACTCTGTGTGGTTTTGATAGGAAACTGACGAAGGTCCTGAAGAACTATGTTGATAATGCTGAAAAGCTGACGGAGCAGCTGCTGAAGGCCATGAAGGCTCTTGAATATATCTTCAAGTTCATCGTCCGCTCCAGAGTCCTTTTCAACCAGTGAGTCCTGACAGTACACACACACACACACACACACACACCAAATACTCCAGGGTCATTGTGACTTGTGATGGCACTGAAGGCCTTCTACATATTCCAAAATTAACCAAAACATTTTTTGTATTATACATATTTTGTATTTATATATTTTCTGAAACCATTTCTTTTTCCCTATAACAACGATTTAACTTTTTAATATTTTTTATGGCTATTTGTAGGGTAAAACTAAATTATTTATCGTTTACTTTCCATTAACAAAGCCAGGGTAAATGGAAAATAATACATTATCAAAAGTATCGCAAATACACAAAGTATCACACCCTTTAAATCCCTGTTAAAGCCGTGGGCTCACTAATGTTGATGTTTTATTAACAATATCCCTGAAAAGATTGAAGAAATGAGCTCTTCTGGTATTTTTAGCAACCACTGTGGGAAATTAGATTTTATTTTTTTGTTATACTTTTACCTGTGTACTACAGCCTTGAGTCTGTACTAGCTCATTGTTGACTAATACAACTCTTTTAGTATCTATATGATATTATATGTTATATTATTAAACTTGTCTTAGTTTGATATGAATTAGCAGTGAGGATGTTAAAGAAAGTTATTGAGCCATAAGATGAACCTACCAGGCTGCAGGGTTGACAGATGATCCTGGTCTAATTGAGTGTGTGTGTGGGTGTGTGGAGGGTTTTGATTGGTTTTCTGTCCAAAGTCTTAAGGATTCGTTGTCCTTTGCTTTACTTATCAGACCCGGCATTGTTGCTCTGTACTAGATTGCTCTGAGTTCTCAGTGGTATTGCTAGCCTTAAACCTCAGCGCCGACCCCTGTTTCTAATGGTGTGAAGTTGCATTTGTCGCTGCCTTTGGTGCAGTTGTGACCAGGAGGTGCCAAGGCTACATCAGCAGCTTTGTCTTAATTGCAGGTCAGTGAAACATTTGACTGGAATGTTGGAGGGGGCTCTGTGGTCTCCCCAACTTTGTTTGTTCACTGACTGGAGACTCGGCGTGGCTGTTTGGAGCATCTCTGCACTGCAGCTGAAAACACAGCGAGAAGTAATTGTTGTGGGAGTTCAGAGATGCTGTCTGTAATCCTGTGATTTCTGTAAGCCCCCAATAGTAAGTACCCGGCACCGTGTAATACCTGCAGTCCCACGAGGGATTGTGGTTCCACAAAACCTATACGTGAGAAAGAAAACCACTGAGATGTGGTGCAGTGGAAGCCCCTGCTGCTGAGCTGCCTCCCTCTGCTTTATTGAGATTTTAGAACAGTAATAATGTGTCCCGCAGAATTAAACTATTTTTTTAGGTATTTATTTATTTATTTATTTTTGTATGTTAGTGGTTTACCCATCGACAAACTAATTACTGTGCAGCGAGGAAAATACTGTTCATTGGTAGATAATACTTTAGCAGAGATTTAAGGCCTCTGTAAGTGGGATCAATACTGCATTGGGATGAATACTGCATTTTGTTGCTCTGTACTTGTGACAGGTGCAATGACAATAAAGTTGAATTCAATTCTGTTTTATTCTACATTTAAAGGGAAATATGACAGAAGTTGTGTTTTGTAGAGAAGTTGAGAATTGATTCTTGTATAGAATCAGTTCCTATTGGCTGGATTCCTTGGAATATTTAAGGTAATTGATAAGGATTCAAATTGATATTAATATTGGAATTGGAATTGATGAATGCTTCTCATTCCCATCACTGATACCCACACATTCGACATGTGGAGAAGTGTCAATACCAGTGTGATTGTCCACTGCAGTCCCCGTCACTGATCTAGTGGAAGAGATGTGTTATGAACGTGGACCCAGACAGATTAGAAAGTCACTGAACCCTTACCTGGCATTTGCTTTCTGCACCTCGCGCTGCATCCCTGGAAAGTCATTAGCATAGATCATTAATTTTTCTGATTTTTGTTTCCACATGAAAGCAGGCAGGTGCCTCGGGGTCGTGTCATGTTGTTTAAAATGCTAATCTTACTGGCAGCAAGAGTGATGTTTGGGGTTCTGATCCAGGCATATTTGCATGGGTTATACACACACACACACCCACACACACACACACACACACACACTCAGGCCGTTCTGGTGGCGGCTTTTAATGATTTAACAGTGAATCTTCAACACTCTTGTCGTCTCCACTTCGGGCGGGCTTGTTTACACAGTGCCGGAACAAACAGCAGGCTTGTGATCATCTGCCAATGTAATTCTCCACTTCCTGTCCTCCCAGGCTCTATGAGAACAAAGGAGAGGCTGCCTTCGTGGAGTCCTTGAGGGACCTCTTCACCTCTTTCAATGAGATGATGAACAGTAACTCAGAAAACACTGGCATGGTGAAGGTAGGCTAACTATCACCAGTCCAAACGCATGCTGTTGCTGACACTGTGCTGAGCAGTATCTGCTGCTGCTACTGCCTGAATAATAAAACATCTGCTGCTGCTACTGTAGTATAAGGAGTGAATAAATCTGTGGCAATTTGCCCTGAATAATGCTCTCAGTAATTGGAGATGCACGCGTCTTTTCAGAAGTCTTTAAACTAATACAGCAGCGTTTCATGGCCTCAACGATTGGCCTTTGTATCCCGCTCGTCTGTGTTCATAACAGTGTCACCGGTCTGTGCAGATCCTCCTGGTATCTCGTCTTATCGTCGTGCGACATAAGCAAGGCCAAACATTTTTCTTACACAGATAAGTGCAGGGATAAAACAACATTCTTGTCCAGATTGAGATGAAAAGATCAACATCTAACTGTAAAGTACCAGCCAGAAAGCCCGTTGACTTTGGTGCCAACACCCTGTAGCTCACAAATAAACACTTGATGCCTCTCCAGAATAGTACGTGGAAGTCCATGTGAGCCGTTCATTACAATTATAATCTGAGTAACATTCTTTTTAGGTCAGTTATTCTCCAAGTATCATCATTATTTACCAACTGACATCATGTTCAGTGTAAAAAGTAGAAAACGAGTGATTTAGGACATGGACTTTTAGGACATTGCAATGACCGACCCCCCCCCCCCCCCCCCCCCCCGGTCTAAATCTGGACAACTATAAAGATATCTGATATCTATTTTTACTTTGGAAAGAAAGGACAGTGTAAGAATATATAGAAAATATTACTGAAATATTTGTGTATGCAAATATCTGTAGCTAATAAGCTGAGCTTCTGAAAATAGTATTGTTATTGTAGCCGGTGTGCAGACCTGATGATGTCAATGTCAGATATCTGTTTCCTCCATCCACATATTATCTCTTTGTCTGTGTCTTGTCTTGACGCCCACTGTCTGTATTTGCACGTATCTGTACCTGTGTGTTTGTGTTTTTCTCTCTTCTTCCTCCCCCTCTGTCCACGACTCTCCTGTGGTGTGGGGCTCCTCATGACCTTCTGCTCTTTAGCTCCTTCTTAAGGTATTTGATTCACTGACTTCAAGCTTTCTCCACTGTGTTGAATTTTGCAATTGTTTGTCCTTGAACACCCTCTACCCACACACACACACACACACACACACACACACACAAACACACTCTCCCCCAAACTCAGTAACTATAGAAACAAAACAAGCTGAAAGTTTCAGTCATCTTGTCTACTTGCACGCGTTCGATTTTGGACACCCGCCCCACAGCTTTGGGGAGATAACATAACCGCTGCACCTACAGTAGATACACGTGCACACTGAAGTGTGGGCGAGAAAGTTTAAGAGTCTATTAGGAGTCAGTTGCTGTGTAATTGAGTGATATGTGAGCTTTACAGTCAGTAAATTAAAAACTGATCTTGGGGAACGAGCATGAGAGCGAGGAATCCCGGGTTTTTACTCCCGGCTCCGCCCTTTTGGAAGCACAATGACAGGTGGAGAGAAACCAAGTCCCATCACATGGTGTGTTTGTATACAGATGTGGACAGATGTGCAGCCATAAAAGGGGGGTTTAATAAAGGCGCACAGGGAAACACAGGCATCTGGAGCAGGGGACAGAACACAGCAGCACGACTCTGCTGAGTTTTAATACATCACACAACACGACTCCACAAAACAGGCAACAGTTCGGTGGATCTTCAAAAATAGCCTCTCAATTGGAGAAAAAAATGCTGTCAGCTTTTGAGCAGTAACAAGAAGATGGTGTACAGATTAAAGTCAAATAATATGAATGTGTTACTCTTGGTATCTGTGCTCCGACTGCAGTGATGAGCAGTCCAAAGATGCAAGGCTGTGCATTTTTAAGCACTTAAATAAAAACTCTGATTTAAAGGCAAAGGTTTATTTTGAGGTCACATTAGCATTTTTTTTTCAGTATACAACATTCAAAGTATATGTTCTCCTTCACTCAGTGGACTTGGCACACGAGTCAGCAACACCGTCACTTTGTTTATCGTCAACAATCCTGATTACATGTGACACATTTCCACAAATAAACCGTGCCTGATCACAAACAGCGGGATCAGCACCCGTGACGTCAGCTAACCTCGTCTGTTCATTTGTTTAACCTCCTTGAGAGCGATTGTCACAGCTGTTAATTTGCACAGATGCTGTATAAATATCACAGCCCGTCTTGGCTGGCATTTAGCAGCAGTCAGTTAGAGAGGCAAGTGTCACCTCAGTTAATCATTCCTTTTATTAATGGCTGACTGAGTTATCACCACCGGCTACACTCACTTGATGACTCCATCATACTATCGATGAGCGTCTCTCCAGTTTTCATCAGTGAAGTCCTCACTTTGGTCCCACTTTAGGTTTCAATAGTCAAAATTAGACTGTGTGAAATAATTAAACACACTTGCGTTAGTGGCAAATGTTAGATCCGTTTTTCTTCAGTTTTCGCAGCCGTTTTCTGTGGCTTAATTTAAGTGAACAATTAAGATTACAAACTCCTCGAATTATTAAACACATGTTAGATGAAACCAAATGCATTGCTCATTAGGGGCATAATTGTTTGTCAGCTGTTAAGCTGCTTACATGAAAGAAACAAAGGAAGACCAATGAGGGAGCCTAATGAAGCCACAAGACACACTCCGCTGCACACGAGGCGGCAACTCTCTGTTCTCCACTTGGAATTACATTATACAGGTACTAACTGTCAATCACTGCTAGAACTAATTCATTATTGATTTATTCTTCTTTTGTTTTTTTGTTTTTTTTCCTCTGAAAGGGTGCTGCCCTGAAAAACGTTCCAACCATCGTCAACGACATCAAGCTAGTCTTCGACCCCAAAGAGCTAAGGTACCTCATATGACTTACTACAGTACTACAGTACTTTAATGTGTATGTGTTATTTATAATAAAAAAGTTAATATTCAGAGGGCAGAGTGTACACAGATGGATCTCCTGAAACATTACATTACATGACCGTAATGTAACCACGTAGTGGTTCTCAAAAAGTTCTGTAGCGCCCCCTGTAATGGTCCTTGAAGAAAAAATTAACAAAAATAACATATCAATACAATTTGAAAAATACAGAACAAATATAAATGATAGGAATTGTAATTGTTTGACGTCCCCCCCCCCGGCCCTCTTTGGCAGTCGCTGCTCTGAGGACATGTACAGTACCAAGTCAGTTGAACTGTGTTTGAACAGTTCACTGACATTAAAGTTATCTGAGCAACTTGCTGATAAGATCATGTGCCTGATACGCTGCAATAAATGTTTGTTCACGGCGTCGCTGTCCTTTAGTCATTCTATGCGACGACTTAAGATTCTGCCCCTGTATCGTGATAAAGGACTGTTTAATGATGCCCGGGTTGCCACGGAAACCTGTTTTTACGCTCTGCTCAAGTGTTCATTCCAGTTAATCTCATCTGCCGTGAATGTCATCTTCTGTCACTTAATGCATCTCTCCGACAGGTGACGTCAGAGGCAGGTGCTGATTTTACTGTGGCACTAAATCACACATGAAAAATAACAGCACAGAACATTAACGTTGACGATCAGTCCATTGGCAAGTGACTTTTCCTCGCTTACAGAAATCAATCAGCTTTGACTGAAAGTTCACTTTAAGTGGCTCTTAAGGGCAGAGGTTTGAAATATATGTTAGGATAAAGTAACACTAAGAGTGTCACTTTGTAAAGAACGTCAACTATTCTGTGTTTGTGCAATCGTTATGAAACTAAAAATAAAGTTTAAAATTCAGCTTTATTTTATTTAAGCAAATAGTGTTAAATCAAATCCTAAGCATTTAATCATAAACCAGCAGCATGTTTTTGTTTATTTTTTTAATTTCTCCACATTCAATTTTAGAATTCTTATTTTATTTGAAAAATATAAACATGTGGCTGTTTTCATTACAATAGAAAAGTGACAGAACTAAAGCGTCTCCACAGCATAGAGGTTTTTTTTTCCGGCCTTAAAATAGTCTAATTTAGCAGAACATGTAATGCTGTCCACACTGCTCGCCTGTGTCCAGCCTGTGTCCAGCCTGTGTCCAGCCTGCGGGCTGCCTCCAGTGTCACAGCAGATTCTGACCACATAAGAATTCCAAATTTGGCCTCGGGGTTCAGCCACTATTACAACAAAGAAAAAAAGTGCAGCCTTTCAATGCACATTCATTCTGTAATCTCTGATTATTATTATTATATTTTTTAAATGTTATTTATTAATAATAAATTCAATTTTTTAATTAAATTCTTCAACTTTTCCTGTCTTTTTCATGTTGGCCATCTTGTTCTGATATTTCAGTCTTGCTGGTTACTTTGCAGCCTTCAAAGCCTCATCTAAAGGTTTTTATGAGCCGATGAGATAAAAAAACCTTTAGATGAGCTAAAGGTTTTTATGAGCCGATGAGATACTTTGTCTTTTGTCATGACTTCTGAGCAAAGTGAAAAATCCATTATTATTATTTTCTTTAACCTTCAGAACTCTGTCTTATTCTGCATTTTATTTCATGTCCTTTCAGCTCTGAAACCCAAGGCTTTATTTAGCCTTGAGATGTGTTTTGGACTCACTAATCCTGAGCTGACTAAGCCAACACACTTGATAAATTTGTGCTTTTTTTGTCCTGCTTGTTTCCCCTTATCTGTCTCCGCAGCAAGCTTTTCACAGAGTTCATCCAGAAGGTTCCTGTGGGTCGTCTGGTCAAGCAGAAGCTGGACTGTCTGATTGACATTGTCCACAGTGATCTCTTCACGCATCATGGTGGGACCTTGTTCACACACACACACACACACACTGAACACTGTCCTCCGCTACATGCACCTTGACTCACGGTGGGTATAGGCAATCTCACGCACCAGCTGGCTCCTCTGGGCAGCCCGACACAAGCCCACACTAAAGGTCATTGGTGAGGTGGAGTGGAAATCCCTGCTGTTATCTCAGAGACTTAAGCTTCACCACTGCTGAAGTCACCTGGCCTTATCTGTAAAAGAATATCAGCATTCTTATCAACCATCATCTGTACTTTAAAAAACACTTTTTTAACAATTGAATCCAGTTTTTTCAGAGGAGTATTATATTTCCCCGGCACAGCAGTACACTACATACCTGTGAGCGTCCGGCTGTTTATGTTCCGCCTGGTCGTAGTAGTGCAAAATGTGAAGGGCGTGGACTTTGAGGTGATTAATTAGGAAGTTCACATTCAGCTCCTGCAGCCATGCTGGCCTGCGGCAAACTGCAGACTGGGCCCTGCTGCAGTGACGGAGCAGGGCCAGGCATTCTGCTGGAGGCAGCAGTCCTCCGAGGCCATGTTAGGTTAGATTTAGATACAGTGCACACACACACACACACACACACACACTGTGTCCTGTTGTGGTCAATTAAATGCAAAATTTCTACCCTGGTAAAACAGCTCCAGTGATTTAATGTGGCTTGTTGGGACAACACAAGCCCCAGAGGGGACAACTAGTGTAACGGACAACAAATAACCGCTCGCACAGTTGCTCTGTAGTGCTGCCGTTAGCAGATGCTTGCGACCACATTAATGTACATGCAGTGAAACACAGGGGGCGATGCCAACTTTTACATATTAAAAGAATCTTTCGTATTGAGCACGGCACACCGTACACTGCTGTAGGCTTTTCAACTTAATGATCCTCTAACATCAACATCGAGCAACAAAAAGTATTGGATTGCCTGTTAGGCCACTTTGCCAAGTGACAAAGGAAGTACTACTCACTGCACAGTCCTCTAGGTAGTTGCTATTGACCTGTTTGTGTATTTGTGGACAGGTCAAGTCTCCTGGATTTTTCTGCATATCTTATCGAGCAGCAAAACTTGTTTCTTATTGACAGTCCACAGGTCAACTCTGACACGTACCTGGTGCTCAGGTTTTTGTCCTTATTGCTTATTTACTGCAAAGGAATACTCGTACTGAAGGATGCACTTTTTTTTACAGTAATCTGTGTTTGTCAACATTGAGCATATTGCTGCTGTTCACCCATAGGTGGTGCTAAGTGATGATGCAATGGAAAGAATCCTGTTCAATAATTCAAGTGAACAATTTGAACTGTGTTATATAAAAAGAGCTTACGGGACATTAATTTAAATTACGCTAATTTTAAAAGGCCATTTTGCAAATTTAAATGTGTGGAGGTCAATGGTTTGACTGTTTAAAAAAATGACTACAAAATCCTTGGCAAAAATGTTAGTTAGAACAGATGAGCAGCAAATCTGTACCAACTTAATATGGCAAAGAAAAGCTTGAATTTGACCTTGGAAAAGTGCATACACCTCAGTCTACTGCACATGCTCATCAACATGTATTGAAGGTGTTCTTTCCCGTCGGCTGCCCGGCGATTAACTAATGCCTTGTTTCAGCATGATGACGGGTTGCAGAGTAGTATTTTCCAGTCAGAGGTGAGCTCCTTCCCTCTCTAAATGACATCTTTAGAGAATAAGACAGCACCCCTGTCGCTGTTGGTTTCATCTTCATGCGAACGTTGTAATTTGAAAAGCTGCATTGCCAATGTGATTGGTCTTCTCGCACAGTTCCCCGCTGCAAATGTGAAAGCCTAATGAAGTCAGAGTAGAGAAAAGTGTTTTTGTTTCTTCCATTTCAGAGTCACAAGGCAGTGTCACCTTCACTGCTGATGATAAAAAAAAGTGGAGAGACAGCGGGACGGGATGCATAAATCACTTGCAAATGGGATCACTGGAAGAGAACAAATACGTTGTCTGATTCTAGGGCTAATTAAAATTATGAAAGGATTTTAAATTTTTACATTATTCCGTGCTTGATGTTTCATATTACTACATACTTTCCAGTTAAGGCTCATTTAATATTATCGCTCTTATAGTTTCTTTAGGGTAGCCACCCCACAATACTGCAGTAGTGCCGAGTAAATATTTATAGGACAGCTGTGGGTAAATCTAGTAGTGTCGTTACTCAGCAAATCCTTAGCTTTTAAAATGTAACCAGCTGAGCCAGGTTTTATGTATTTATTTATTTAGTTTTTCATTTTCTCATGACCTTTAACTCTGTTGCAGGAGGGAACACCTTATAATGAGAAAACACTCTAACTGCTACAGTTACTCTGTGCAGTACAAAAGGCAACATCTGGTTTATTAAAGTTTCACCATCACTTACAAGGTTGGAATTTCATCGGGCAATCAACGCCCTGTTATTTCTTTAACTGCGGTTATTGAAGGTGAGTCGGGAAATCGCTGCAGGAAATTCACTTTCATGCGTTTGTCGATGCATCAGTAAATCATAAAAGTGCATGTTTTACATCCACGGGTTAGCATTTGTGTCTTCGTGCAGTTAATTGTTCGCAATCACGCTCATCACCTGGATTTTATCTAATTGCGACTACTGGTGGAAGTGTATTGGACAGAATCATTGTGTCTTTGTGCTGCATGTAGTGGAGGAAAGTATTGACTTTATCGTTGCTCATTTATCTTCATGGAATCACTCCTCACTGCTCTACGTTACATCCACCTCCTTAACAAAAGGGTGGAGGAAGTGGTGTGATTAATATTCAATATCTCTGGATGCCTTCGGCAGTTGTGACCAATCAGCTCTGTGTGTGTGTGTGTGTGCGCGTGTGTGTGCTGTTAGGACTTGTTGTTGTATTGTCTTTGAATTAAAAGCAAATAGTTTGAAGGCCATTTTAATTCTCTTCACCTCGACATTGAAGCGATTGCTGTTTAAAGTGGCACATTCTTTTTTTATCATAGGCTTAAACTCCTTATCTATTTGTCAGGTCTTAAATATATTTTTAAATCCAGAAATATACACTGTACTTAAAGACTGGTTTTTAACTGTCTGCTCACACTGCGGTAATTGATTAGGGGTTTTGATTGAGGTCTTGTGGGTCACACTTTTACTGCTTATGTTGACATGTAATTAGCCAACATGTCAGGTCACAAAGGGATTTGATATATATATTCTCTAATATTTCAGAGGACACAGTGATTGGCCGTGCTGATGGAACGTGTATTGTTCCTCTCTGTCATTTACATCAACTGTTTCTCCAATCTTCTGGGAGCCTTTGTCACAGCCGTTCTATAAATATATTCATTATGTTTGTTCTTTTAATTGAATCCTCTGAGCTGTACGGAAACCATTAACAAGATTGCTGCGTGTGGATCTTCAGTATGGCGAGAACATATGCTGCAGTGACGCCTGCAATCCATCATCTGCTCTTTGTGTCGCGCGCCATTGTAAAGAAGAGCATTTGGCGTTGTCCCCACAGATTGCCGTGAGATCCTCCTACCACTGATGACGGAGCAGCTGAAGTTCCACCTGGAGAAGCGAGAGGAGCCCAAGGCCTGCTGCCAGTTGCTAAGTGACATCCTGGAGGTTCTCTACAGGAAGGACGTGGTGAGGAACAGTGCCCTTACACTTACTACGTTTTCTTTTACAGTTGGAATAAACAAGTCAACAGCATGGGAAATAGTCCCACCTTTTGAGGCATGTTAGGTAAATGGTGACTAACGCAGATGGAAGGTTGTTTGCTGAATTAATTTCATCTGGAACTTGTCCTTCAAACAAATCACAAGCCAGAAAACTTTGAAGTCAGATGTTGTTTCTGTCCCCTTTACCAGCGTTCACCACAGCCTGGGTCCATATACATTGACTCTTTATGACTTATTGTTGGTTGTGCTTCAGAAATATGTGTGATTAATACTCAGTCTGCTCCTCAACTCCCCTGACTTGAATATGCAAATAAATCAGAAAATGAAGAAGATATAAAACTGTGAATACTAATGTGCGACTTGGGCTCATTGAGTCGTGGAGCGACAGTTTTTAATTGTGAATGAAAATCTCTTTGTTTTTTCCATCCTTTGTGAGCCTCAAACAAATAAAACCCAGACTCCACTCTCGGTGGAGTTTTTGCATACAGACCCTAACATCATGTGGAAAGACGTGCGTCACTCTGGCAGCACTAGAAAGCAATATGTGAACCTACGTCCTCAGATTTTTTTTTCTCCCCTCTCTCTCGCTCTCTCTGTGATTGTGTATTTTTTTTCTCCCCACTCTCTCTCGCTCTCTCTGTGATTGTGTGAGTGGTTTTATTTGTATATGTGCACAGCCCTGGGTGTAATATATCCTGAAGTTCAGAAAGGGCTGTGTGAATTATTGAAAGTTTTTGGTAGGGAGGTTGCCTCGCTTAGAATGTCCCCTCACAGGTAGGTAGAGGTGGAAGAAACAGCCCTCTGTTCCTCTGAACTAACAGGAACGTCCAAGTGAATTTAATCTATGGTGTAGGAGCCAGTGTTTCTCCTTTCAAAACTGGTGTTACTTATTATTGATGACTTATTTATGCCGCATAAGTCATAAGTTTCTTATCTCTGGGAGCACACTGTGAAACAGATTAATGTGAATTTATTGTGTTTATACACCGTTCTGACTTGGGGTTCGATGGTAAAACTGTAAAGACAGATTAAATATTCACTGTTGGAGCTTTGTTATAGCCTCAGTCTGGCAGATTTAGTCACTCGCAGTAGTTTGTTCAGGTTACGTGCAAAAGAATTCATTCAATCTGCAACAGCATGGGGAATTCTGGGAACTGTGAATTCAAACCCTCTTGTGCATCGTGATTGTTGGGTTTCAGGAAGAAAAAGTCTTTTTTTAAAGGTGGATTGCTGTATTTTCACAGCTAAAGTCCTTCAGTGTCAGTGCTCACATCTGTTTGACTTTCGTCAGGGACCCACCCAGTGGCATGTGCAGATCATCATGGAGAAGCTGCTGAGGACCGTGAACAGGACGGTGATTTCTATGGGCCGTGATTCACCTCACATCGTAAGTCTGTCTTACTGTTAATGTAGTTTCAACCATACTAACAACAGTTATTCCTCAACTGCTATGCACCCTTACACACTTTGCCTTCATATTGCATCACATTGCCAAAATAATTTTGTATTTGAACCAATAATTAACACTCTCAATCCTCTGGTACTCCTATGATTATTTTTCCTTTCAGCTCCTCTATTATCTTTTTGGTGTAAATATTTTTTGTCATACCAAATCAGCATCTACAAACAATCTCTTCTTCATGATTTTCATATCTGAAGAGTCCATTCCAGTGCGATGAAAAGACATTTTGTTTTGAATTTCCTTCACATTTTTGATCCCATATTTGTTTTCATTTACTAATTTTGCATTTGTGGAAACGGTTTATTGCACACAAAATCACACTAATAGTTTTGGGGTCTAAACTTTAAATTGCCCCTTCAACTCGGTGTCAAAGTTAATTTATAATATAATTGTAGTATAGCTGGGAGTCTCCGTATTCCTGACAGACAGATTCTCACTGGCCTTTCCAGCTCGTACTCTGAGTTATTTCATGTCTAAACTCTGTATTGGCCCGATTTCTTCCTTGTCAATGTTTAGAGAGTTAACAGAAGGTTTATTCAACCCTGGGCAGATCTTGAATGTGCAGCAGGTGCCTTTTCAGCCCATATCCCTTCTTCCTGCTACCTTTAACAGCTGTGAGGTTCTTTTGATCATGCTCGACCACCACTTTGCCTAAAAGGCTATCACTGCGTACGAAGGCGGCTCAGAGCGGTCCCCTCTCTGCTTTATTATATTAAG